TTTAAAATATAACGAGTTTTAGCACATTTTGTATCATCCATAATACCAAATTATTGTGGTTTAAAGTCAAAACAAACAACATAGCCCTCTTTCAAAATGCGGCGAATTCACCAAGATAGTTTGTTTGTTTGTAGTTAAGCACAAAACTATACAAGAGGCTATCTTTGCTCTGCCCACCATGGGTATCGAAACCAGGTTTCTAGTAGTATAAATTCACAAATTCCGTTTCTTTCTTCACGCTCCGTAAATAATGTAGATTACTCTCGCTTGGCTACAGATCTGCTACCACATTACTCTTAATTATTCCATTACATATTTCGAAGCACTGCGACAAGTCACTGCCCAGAAGGCCTTTCGTTCAATACCTGAATTCATCAGTTGGTTTGGACCAATGGCAACCAAAAATAAATCCAAACTTCCACTCATTGATTCTAACAGTTATCTAATGAACTCACTAGTGATAGGCTTCATATTTCTAAGAATTACACATTATTTTTTTCAATTTTCAACCGTCTAATTTATGTATTAGGTAACATTACCCCCCTTCTCCACCCCCACCACCCCCCAGAAAAAATAAAACTGTGCTATTTAATCATTCACTTATGAGAGATAGCTGAAATCAAAATCATTTGTCTTAAATTGGAAAAAAGAAACATACTGTGGAAAACACAAGTTTGTGTGAGAAATATTATAAATTCATAATTAGAAACATATATTGCCAGAGACACGAAAACATTGTTCTTGTTTTAACCCCAGTGGCTCAGAGTTATGTCTGAAGGCTTATAACCCTAAAGAGCGGGCTTTGACACCCGTGGCAGGAAAAGCGGAGTTAGCTCATTATGTGCTTACCAACAAACACACCTTATTTTTAAAGTGAAAATAATTCATTTAAAAATATATAATCATTGGAGAGATAGATAGAGATCAATATTATACTTTCTCTCTCTCTCTCTCTCTTGTAATTACATAATGTTTGTGAAACAAATCTACAGAATACTAAGACTAGTAACAATGATTATTATTTTTATATTTTTGAAAACTACAGTTTTTTAAGTCTTTGTGTTATACTTACGTATACTATTCTTTAAAAAAAAAAATACTGTAAAATACTTTTAACAATTGGTTGTGGCGACATCTATTATCTGAAAACAAAGTACACAATTCCTAAAAATATTTATTAAAATAAGTAAAAATAAAAAGTTAAGCGTAAATTAATGCATTATGTTTTACGTAGAAATATTAAATAGGGCTTGTAATGAAACACTGTCGTGTAGAAAACGCATTCGCACTGTTTTCGAGATATAGAAGATAAAAATTCCTAAATCATAAAAATACGTTAAAAAAGCATCTAACCCTAGAATATATACAAAAAAGTAAAAACTATAAATTTTACTATTTAAAGCCAAAATAAAATAACGGCAGTAATAATAATTTGTATCATAATAAAAAAAAAATACACAGGTTAAATTATTTAAATCTAATACAATAAATGTAAATAGAAACTGACACTTAAATACATGTACATGGAAGCCTAACTGATTAGCATAACGATTCTGAGAGATCTAATAGCGTCACCAGGAGACTATACCATTCAGCATTGAACGTATTATTTTTTCTCGTGTTAAAATTGGAATCTTTACTATAGAGGGCTTTACTTTTCATGACCTCTGCTATAATTCTGTGTACTTACTAAAGGGATTCCGTATATACCATTGAAAGCAATAATTCATCTTACTACATTAGTTACTTTTGTCTCCCCCGAGACCCAATCAAAAATAATATCTTTCTAGCCCAAAAGTTGTAACTTAACGTAAATGTCGTTTAAAAACCCTGAAGTCTTCAGCTCAACAAATCTATTTACTTAGGAGTAAATGTGGAGCATTATATTTTGATCTGATAATCTATAATCTGTCTCCATAATCTATTTAGATTCCTGTATAGTAGCGTTTGGCACACCACAACGTGTCCCCCCCAAGTGGCACAGCGGTATGTCTGCGGACTTACAACGCTAGAATCCGGGTTTCGATATCCGTGGTGATCAGAGCACAGGTAGACCATTGTGTAGCTTTGTACTTAATTAAAACAAACACCACAACGTTTGTTGGCATATCTTCTTAATAAGGTGAAAAGTCGTTATTAATTTACCATACATGTTTGATAGCTTGAGGAGATTTTTTGTGTGTGTGTGTGTGATGGTAATATAATCTACTTTATTCAATAAATATATTAGTTTAAGTGCAATGCGAGTTCCGATTCTTAAGTTTGTTTTCATCTACAGCTGTATCTTCCAATTTCTGAAATCACTGAATGAATAAATCTACAGATCCTTACGAATTCAATGTATTGTTTGTTTGTTTTGAATTTCGCGCAAAGCTACACGAGGGCTATCTGCGCTAGCCGTCCCTAATTTAGCAGTGTAAGACTAGAGGGAAGGCAGCTAGTCATCACCACCCACCGCCAACTCTTGGGCTACTCTTTACCAACGAATAGTGGGATTG